TACAGTGTAACCCGGTTATAAGAGAGTTGTCGGGACCGGAGAAGAAGTCTCTTATGTCCGGGTTTCTCTTATATCCGGGTTTGGTCTATTTTGTTTGCATTAACACAGGCTCTAATTTGGGACCAGAGAAAATCTCTCTTGTATCCGGGTTTCTCTTATATCCGAGTCTCTTATATCCGGGTTATATGGTATTAGATGTGCTCGTGGTTGCCGTTACAGAAATTCTAGTCATATCATCAGCCAATGATTTGATTTCATTCGTATATTTAAATGTGCAAGAACATTAAAAAACGTTAACCGACAATAATTCAAAATTAGTAGAAAAAGAAGAAAAAAATGGCAGTACCACAAACTGTTATTATAATTGTAAATAAAACATTCGTTGCATCTTCAAAACTGTCAGTTGCTAATACGTTAAGTAATAATAAATATGTAGTTCTTTAATACACATAAACACAGATATATATATATATATATATATATATATATATATATATATATATATATATATATATATATATAAACTACATCCGCGTCCTGGGTAAGGCGATAAACTACATCCGCGTCCTGGGTAAGACGATAAACTACGTCCAGCAGCAAGGCCTCTGATCAGGAGGTTTTGAGGAGCATGAAACCACCTCTTTATTGCTGGTGTTCCCAGGTCCACACTGACCCGAGGTGGTAGCACCTGTTAGGGTCCCAGCTATGGGCAAATAGTTAACCCCGAAACTGGGGTAAAAACACTATGAAAGTGTAAAAATAGGTTTCAATACCAGAAAAACTTTGTAAAAGATTATTACCAGCAATAAATTTTTGAAGAAAAAAACTATTACCAGCAATCCATTTTTAAAAAAAAATAAAATATTACCAACAATACGTTTAAAAAAATTATTACCAGCTATACATTTTTGAAGGAAAAAAATTATTACCAGCTATACATTTTTGAAGGAAAAAATTATTACCAGCTATACATTTTTGAAGGAAAAAAATAATTACCAGCTATACATTTTTGAGGGAAAAAATTATTACCAGGGATATATTTTTGACAAAACAAAATATTACCAGGGATATATTTTTTACAAAACAAAATATTACCAGGAATATTGGGGGGGGGCATTAAATAACCCAGTGAGGGTGATATGCCGTAAAACAAGCTAAACCAAACCAATGAAAATATATGCATACATACACACTTTTTTTTTACCAAACTATGGTTATGAATCTATTTCAAAATTTTGTTGGCATTAAATGCCCCACTGAGGTTGTTATGCCATAAAACAACCAACCAACCCTTGCTTAAGGGTGAACACCTAAAATGCAGATTAGCTTGTACCATCTAGAACAATGTAGTAAATATTGGAATATTGTTTTATGGTCAGATAAAACTAAACTAGAATTATTTGCTCACATGAACTCTTATTATGTATGGAGGAAACTAAATGAAGTAAATGAACCAATAAATACCTTCCCTCAACTTAAGCAATGTGATGGGAGCATTTTGCATGTTTTGCTGCTTCTGGGCCAGAAGAATTAATGAAAGTACAAGGTATCATGGATAAAGAGCAGTATTTGGCTATTCTTAAAAATAATAAAAATAACAAATTGCTATCTATTTTTTTTTTTACACCGACATTCCAACTTGACAATGACCTGAAAACATGACACAAATTGTTACAAAATACTTAGATAACAGCAAAATTAAGATATTGACACTTTTTGTGGACTTATAAACTTAATGTCTCAATAATCGTTTTTTTTACCAGAGCTCATATTGCAATTTTATTGTTATTATTTCTTTTTTTCTGGCACTCTATATCGCTGGTTCTCATATTGTATTCATTTCTATGCTTTATTTAACGCATTTAACAGTTTATAGCTATAGCATAATAGGCAAACTTTTATATATATATATATATATATAGAGAGAGAGAGAGAGAGAGAGAGAGAGATTATAATTATTTTAAAAAAATATGATTCCTTCGCTACACAAGAGTTCTCATGTTTCAAAAACAAGAGTTGAAAACTTCAATATAATTATTAAAAATTAAATTGAATTCAAGTATCAAGCTGTTTCATCTTCAAGCGAAATTTTTGGAATAACTAATCTTGAAATTTACGCAACTTTATAAGCATATTCATTCGTATACTATGGAAACGGCTGAAGCAATAATTTAAATAAGGAGCGTAAGGATTAACAATTTGTATCAACATATCAGTTACTTTCGGAAAGAGGTCAAGTGAAGATAGGGTTGGGGGTGTCGAAATTAAAGCGAATGATGACATTCATTATACAAATATCGTCTAGTCTGTTTTAGTAACAGAGTTACTGGCGTTATGCGTTATTGCTACATTGTTAAGTGTCTAAAGATATTTTTGACATACATACATATATATATATATATATATATATATATATATATATATATATATATATATATATATATATATATATATTTAAACCTAGGGGAGCCAATTAAAAACCTACTAAGGTTTCACCTAAGCGGATCGTCAGGAAGGTTGTTTTGCTTACTCGTATCGGTTTTTTTTTTTTGGGCTTTGGACTTGGATGCTAGACGATTATTTTCGGCTAACGTCCATGTTCTTGGTTCTTTCCTTTTTTATACCTTTTTTCCCCTTTGGTACTGGTTTGATTATTTGCAAATCAAGACACCGAAGACATATATATATATATATATATATATATATATATATATATATATATATATATTAAACCTAGAGAGACAGACAAACCTACCAAGGTTTCACCTAAGCAGATCGTCAGGGAAGGCTGGCTAAAAAGGTAAAGAAAGAACGGAAATTTATGCTTAAATTTTCTGTTCTTCCTTTACCTTTTTAGTTGCCTTCCCTGACGATCCGCTTAGGGGAAACTTTGGTAGGTTTGTCTGGCTCCCTAGGTTTAACTAAGTCTGCTCTACTCACTGTATTGAGCACTTTATTTAGTTATTTTGCCTACTCGAATCAGGGTTTTTTCTTTGAGCTTTGGACTTGCATGCGAGATGATTATTTTCGGTTAACGTACATTTTCTTGGTTCTTTCTTTTTTATACCTTTTTTTCCCTTTTGGTATTGGTTTGATTATTTGCAAATCAAGATCCGAAGTTTTTCCGGATGAGTATAGTTTCTTATACTTATAAGATTTCTATTAATGTTACCTCTATCTCTGATATTGAGCGCTTTCTAATACCACTATATAATATAATATATAAATAATTATACATATATATTTATTTATTTATTTATATACACTTTTCACACACACATATATATATATATATATATATATATATATGAAAAAAAAAATATATATATATATATATATATATATATATATATATTCTATCCATTCACAACAACAAAATGTTTTTTCTTTATTTAACAATGGGTAGTGGTATTAGTGGCATAGATGTGATACTTCTGTCCGTGGACACCATGCTAACCAATCGGATATTAATCCTTTCTTTTACGGGCGTTACCATTGCCGAAATAATATATTCACCAATCACTAAATTTTAAGTGGAATCAAAATTGACCGTTGACAAGGAATGGAAACCACCAACACCTACCTCATTGAACAGCAATATATGGTAAACTCCACCCACATAACACCTGTTTATTCCAAACTCCAACATGAATATAAAAAAAATATATATTATTTTTGTTTCCTTAGATACGTCATTCCACCGAAGCCATTACTCATGGTATCTTTAGACAGTAGGTGTTTTCAGCAATGATAAGGATTTCCCTTCGAAGCATGCCAGACACATACCCCCCGACTTCTGTTCGATACAGTTTCGGTAGCCATGTTGAAAACTCTTCTGGATCTACGCACAATTCTCTTCGTTTGTGATTATAAGAATAAATCCATTTTACGATCTGTCTTGACGCTAATTTTCCTTCGAAGAAATAAGTGTTTAAGCATTGGTGTTCACTTTACCTGATTTTTTTTTTTAATCATTTCACCCCAAGCGTGGCAATAAGGCCACTAAGATGCAAAGGGTTACTGAGCGTTAGAGAATATGATAAAAACAAACCCTACTGAGGAGAAGTAACAATGAAACAATTAAGAAGACAGAAGAGAAAGATTGACGTGCCATTTCAATTTTTGAAGATTTCCACAAGTGAGAGTAAAAGAAATTATTAGACTGTAAAACGATGAGGCCTTGTCGCCAATCTCGTACTGCGCTTAATTTCATAGAGTCTAGGTACCATAGAAGGAAGGTCATCAGAACAATTACCATGAAAATATTTATAGAAAAGGCACGAGGAAGATACGTTACGGCGACGGGAAGTAACTGGAGCCGAGATGCCATGTCAGGACCAATAACTTTGCAGATTCATTATTTTTCTAATCTTTTCATCTTAAGCAAGGAAACAAACCCACTAACACGCAGAGGGTTCCTGAGATTGAAAGAATATAAGTAACCTAGAACAATAAAAGAACAGAAATTAAGAACACCGAAGATAACGATTGATATTGCATTTAAATCTTTTGAAGATCAAACTTGACTGGAAAGCAAGAAGCCGGAAGAGTGTTCCACAAGCAAGAAGTGTGAGAAAAGAAACTGCTAGCATAGAACTTTCGGTTAAACCTAGACATTTAAAAAATGATGAAATTATAGCGAAGGAAACGGCGACTTATCTCGTCAAACCAATCGACAGCGCGTCGCGTGTATTCTACGACGGAAAAAGTGGCGAAAAAGAAAATTACTTACCAAACAGAAGGGCACGTATTCCCCATAACATGCTGAAAATGGAATAAGTGAATTAAAAAAAAAAAAAACAAGTCCGTCGCAGGAGTCGCTATAAAAGTATTTTGATATGCAAAACATCCTCTCCCAGCTGTCGACAAATGAAAAAAATAGGTTCTGTCGATAAAAGCAGTTGGTGTTCTCGATTCGAGATCGGAAAATTCGGGCATTGTGAGTGAGTGAGTGATAGATAGAGAGAGATATAGATAGAGATATAGAGATAGAGATATAG